GTTTAAAACAAACTTGGTTACAAATTGAGCAAATTGCATGATTTCACTAAAATAGTGTTTGATGCTCTAAAATTTACATCAAGTCATGCATTAAAATTGCTCAGAAAAACACATAAAACCTTTAAAACCCAATGGTATATGCAACAGAATCTTGTTCTTTCAGAGGCCAACATTTTAGTTGTCTTATTTCCACCTAACTGTAATACAAAGGTGAGAAGAGAATTGTCTCCAACCAGACAATGTAAAAAAGATGTCCGACCAAACAATGAATCTACGCAGCTTACAATCTTGACGAAAAGTCAGATAAATCGTTAAGACAAGAACAATATCATATCACAATGATTATTCAAATAACAACTTGTAATAAGTAAATGGAGATACGTGTAACACGTAACAGAAAGACGACATAATCCTATCAAAGACCAAAAGACCTCATGAACAAAAATTTGACCATTATGACGTCACAAAATATGATACCGAGTTTCGAACCACTTTACATTTATAGTTTTCTAATCTGCAAACAGATCTAATCACATCTAGGAATATAATTATATCACAAAATACCACAACTTCGTTCAACCATTGTTGAGTGGGGCAATCGAATCGATAATGTAATGACAGATTGGCTGCTGGGGGCTGGGGTTTGTGCAGAGTTGCCATTATCCAACCGTCATCTCAGAAAAAAATGGTAGAAATTGGTGTTTTTAAAATTAAATCGTTTATTATATTTTCATAATGATTTGAGATATACATAAAATTAATTTGTTTATTGACTAAAATAAATCAATAAAAATTGAGGGCTAATTTCAGTTGTAATTAACCCATTTGGAATCAAAGTGACAATAATAGATGGCAGTAAAATGTAAAGTCATTTCAACTATTAAAATTAATTTACAGTTCTATAAAATAAATAAGTAAATTAAAAGGCATCTTGTATATTTATAAATAATTAATTGTTTTATTTGGCTAAGCATTATTATGATTAACTCAAGTTAACCAAATTGGGCTTGTGAAATAAAAAAAAACTCATCGATTTTTTTTTAATTCCTTTAAGGACATAATAACAATCAAATGATTGCCAACGGTAAATAGTAAAATATTTAAAAATCAAAATGATTCTATTATTTCTAATATTTGTTAACCCAATTATTGAACGAAACGATAATATGCGAGAAATTGATGAAGAATGTAGAAAAAAGAAATTATCTCAACAACGCCTACCATAATACTGTCGGCAAATGATTCATATCGATTTGAGAAATGCAACGCTAGCCCATTATATTTCATGTCATTTTTATGAAATACATATAGTTATTTCGCTTTATTCGTTAATAATGAAATAGAATGAAGTTTTTATATTTTAATTCGGACGAAGCCGTACGGGAACAGCTCTTGTTAAACATATTTCATATCTTCATGGTATAACTACTGGCGTCGTATCCAGCGGCGGTCATTTGCTCGTCCACCCAACTTCTTTGACTAGCAACATCTGTGTAGACGCCGGGAGTATTTCCTCCACAACCGATGCCCCACGCAACTATTCCTGTCTGTACGTAGCGGTCTGTCTGCACCTGTAACATTTTTAAAATTATGGAAACACAAACGGGAAAATATTAAACATTTGTTTGCTCGCGACTTGTCCGTATGAAAATTACGAAATAATATAAAATGTAGCCTGTGTTAAGGCCTATTAGTTTTACGTGAATCAAATACATACAAAAATATTTATATTTATTATATCAATATAATAAAGAGGAAAGATTTAAAAAATTCACTTTCATTGTTACAAAGGAAATTTATCTGTGAGTTATGTAGGTTTTTTTTTTATTATTTTTCAATTCAACGCGGACGAAATCGCGAGCAACAGCAATATTTTTTATAATTAGTAAAAAATTAGTTACCGGACAGACTAATGGCGAGCCTCCATCCCCAACACATGTATCTTTGCCGGCCTCGCCTCCAGCACACATGAAGCTCGAGTCCAAATTGAAGAATACACCGAGGCGTGTTCTACGCAACTGATTTTGACAGCTCTGAGGACTAACAACAGGCAGTTCACGCTGCAAAATAAACAGCTCGATTTAAAATCTAGTTGCAGAATGGTGCAGAATGGTGATCATGATAAGATATAGGCCAAGTAGCAATAATTAACCTTCATGAAATTTGGCATAGATGTAGAGGATAGTCTGGAAAAACACATAAGCTATTTGCTTTTGTTTTATTTTAATTCCACGCAGATATTTTCCAATGGGCCGGCTCGCCCGGTGAAATACTACGAACACACAGAAAACAGGCGTAAAGTGGAAGCAATTCCGCATTTCGTCTGATGTGTGTGGTGCCGGAGGCATAATTTTAATCCCTTTAGTAAAGTGGATTTGACGGTGGAGAAGCATAGGAACGGGAAATGTCCTCTTTATGTCCGTCTCCTCCTCCGTCAATTAAGCGTATCGCATCTGCAATACCGGATGTTTATGGGCAGTGGTCGCTTTCCGTTTCCGTGAATTAAGGTGGCCGCTTGTTCGTTTGTCACACTATTATTATAAAAAAAATAGAGTCGCGGGAGAAAGCTAGTTACATACGTTATATTATTAATAATGCAGCAGAATCTAACCTTCTTTAATATGACTTGGTATTTTCCAACTTCTCCAAAGTGATCCTTGCCCCAGCCGGATGCGTGACAACGTGTGCCGGGCGGTGTGGTTTGTCCGACGGCGGGTAGGCACACCAACCCCACGTTTGGCGTTAACATCATTGGTAGACTTAGGAAGAGTAACGCTATATCATTGGCTAAGTTTCCTGAAAGAATTTATCTTGTTACGCTGTTTAGTTGCTCTACTAAAATTCGAGTAGTGTACACCCCCATATAATCTCATACAAATCAAAGCCAGACTAAACAGTTGTATGATAGTTTAGTTTCAGTTATGCTGATGCTCTTAGTATCAACCATAAAAAACTATATAATATTCACGGACATATGTATGTATAAAACTCCGTATAACTATGGTTTCAAAATAGTAGAAATCAAAGTTTGCACATGGCAATATTGGTAGCGCTATAGCGTAAATATGATTTATTGCGCGGTTCACACTTGTCCAGTACAGTTTGTTAGTAGAGGGGGCGTGGCAGGAAATGATGTGACTGTATAACTGGCACAGTGTGAGTGATAACTGGCACCAAGGAGCATGTCAATCCGATGACTAGCGGACAGTTCTGCCCAGTTTACAAATAGCCGGTACAGTTGGACAATTGCAACGGCCAGACAAAAATTGTATAGAGTCAATGGTGCCAGTTAGCGTTCACATGTTGCCAGTTGATTGAAAGTTTATTTATTGCTACAGACCAACTGTACTGGCTTAGTGTGAACCGCACATTTTACTTTATTGATCAGTCTAGCCATTCCGCAACGGACGTAGCGTGAACGATTCGTTAGTAGACACACTTATATACCAGATACTGGTACTTGCCAGCTACAGTATACTCAGTACGGTATGAGTACACACTGCTCTAGTAGCTGGAATGCAAACTATTTTACTGGCATATATATGTCCACCTTTTGATGCTTTTATTGTTAGCACGTAAATTCGGAATGGCTGAATAAGATAAGACAATAAGATCAAATTTGGGTGGATTATAGAATTTAGTCTATAGTGTCACATAAATAACTTTTTTAATTTTACACAGATTACAGCCAATTACTTACGACTTTTATAATCCTTGTTTACGACTATATTGCTCACGTCTCGGTCTTGATATGGGTAAGGTTCTTTAGTAGTTTGTGTGTCCCATTCGCCGGCTCGCACCATTAGCTTCCCAACACTGTTGGTGGCTACTACCACATGGGCACCCGTCACCACCACGCTCCGGTGGATCAGTGACCCACCACCGATATGCCTGAAGCCACCAGGGATGGTTGGATCTTTCCTGTTGGAATTCAATATTTTTATTTATCACAAGATAGCGTTAGTGGATGTCAAATATGTCTCAATTCATTTGAGTGTCAAATATGCCTCCTCTAATTTTTTTAATATCTTTGGTTTGATAATACAATACCTTAAAACAGCGACCATCCATGGGAACTCTCCGAATTTGGCTTCACCATTCACATCGCCTGTAGTGACCATTCCAACGCCATTAGGGTTACGCCAACCGCAGCCTTCGCGCTGTAACAAATTTATGATGAGTTGCTAAAGTTTCCATTTATATTATCCCTAGATTTCACGACTCCGTACGCGTGGAATTAAAACAAAAGTGAGTATTCTATGAGTTGTTACAGACTATCCTCTACATCTGTACCTAATTTTATCGAAATTTGTTTAGCTGTTTAAGCTACAAACATCCGTCTAAACTTCTGTAATATTAATCTATACTTCTATACTATTATAATAAAGCGTAAACACACACTTCTTTGTTGCCTAAGATGTCAGTAATTACAGCATATTTTTGAATAATCTTTTTTTAATAAAAAGCTCTACGCTTACGTCACGCTTTAGGCTATATATTTTCAGGCCATTAAACTTAGGGGGTTAATATTTTGGATAAAAACCCTAATGTGGGAAAGAGACCATAAGTTGCTACCAACATCAAGAAAGCAGGTTTGTCATGTTATGTCATTTTGACATTTGCTATTGATAATTTGACAAATGTAAACAATACAATAAAATTTTCATAATTGAATTCGCCAAAATAGCGAAGCGACCGCTGCCCATAGACATCTGCAATTGCAGATGCGTCGCCTACCCTTATCCGACGGAGGAGGAGACGCACATAAAGAGGACATTTCCTCTTCCTATGCGTCTCCTCCATCGTCAAATCCACTTCCCCTTCCCATCCTCTCATAAGAAAAGGGTGGTAAAGAGAAAGGGACTTAAATTAGGCCTCCGGCACCACACTCATCAGACGAAACACGGCATTGGTTCCATTTGACGCCTGTCTTCTGTGTGGTCGTGGTATTACTGGGGGCGTGCCGGCCAATTCGTGCTAAGATGTTAAAGCGGGCACTACCACGGTTGAAATTAATTCTAGTAAAGAATATTACAAACTTACCGGTAAGAATGGTTTGGGCAAAGGTAAGGGCTGATCTTGTACATTTGTTGGCACACAGCATACATCTAAATAAGATTTGCAAGGCCCATCAAGTATCCTGTTGAAAATAAAATACCTTTAAAGTTACATTTCAGTAAGTAGCAATTATTTATAAACAAAAAAGCTTTCGCCCGCGACTCAATCCGCGTGGAATTAAATAAAAACATAAGTGAGTAGTCTATGTGTTCTTCCAGACTATCCTCTACATCTACGTGAAATTTCATCAAGATCCGTTCAGCCGTTTATAATAATAATAATAATAATTTAAGGGCCAGATTCAAAAGGCGGTTATTTTAGAAACCGCACGAATAGTGAGGAGGTTCCTGTCTCTGCCCTGACCACTGGTTGCTTGAGTTATCGGATTCCGCAGCCGGTGGTGCTCTATTTTTTATATAATATATTTTATTTTATTTTATATTCTTGTAAAATGTATTATATGGAGAATAAGAAATAAATATATATGATGAATAATAATAAACTTAGTATAAGTTTGTTAGTATCAGAAAAAACTTAATACCTATGTTAGTCACACATACATCTAAATGTTATTCTAAAATGTACAATTATCACCTGCCACGTGTAGCTTTATGCATTGATTGATATATCTACAATCCAGTCTGCTGGCAATCACATGTAGAATGGTGTTGGCTACAAACTCTAACAAACATCCATCCATCCATCCATCTAAACTTTCGCATTTATAATATTAGTAAGAAGTAAGATTTACTGCCAATATATTTTTAACTCGCTGTTTGATTGGCATTGATTGTGTTAAAGAAATTGTAGCTTGTTTCCAAGTACTTATTCTAAATCCCCCTATATACACACCAATAGCAGACACACTTGCTTCCAAGTTGGCACGTTACAGTAAAAAATTGTCAACCCTAACTAGCATGCGATTACGACAGGCGTAAACAGCGCTTTTTGTCTTAAATAATAAACAATTCTGAGTGGAATAGCGCGCCATCCTGGATCCACATCTCTGTCAGTCTGAACTGAGTCATCATCATCTTGTTTATCCTACTCCCGTAGTGGCGCAACTGATTTTTGTCCTCTAAATAACTCTATCATACGTCATCACTCCCTGATCATGTTACCTTTCACGCAATACATCCATCTTTTTCTATGTCTACCTCTACCGGTGTACCACACTCATAACGTTCCCCTTGTAACATGAGATTCATCCCTTCTCATAACATCATACCATGCTAACCTTTTACTCCTTACCTTCTCTTCCACCGGGGCTACTCTCAAACTTCCTCCAGTATACTCATATCGTATCAAAACTTGTATTTAATGTTGCTTATACTCAGTTTATGTTTAAGTTAATTATCCTAGTTTATATTTCTTTAAACTTAGTATAAACTTGAGTAGTTGTCAGTAATAGTATCAACTTAGTATGAACTAATTGTTTAAAAATACGAGGTTATAACCTCACCTGATAATGTTAACCACGTAATCACCGTTATTAGTGTTAACACATTGGTTAAAATTAACACATTCTCCTTTCTGCTTGTCCTTTGTGAGGCAAGGCTCTAAACCTGGGGAAGCAATTTGTAATAAATTATAATAATGTACTATTCAAGAATACCTCTTAAACTTAAGGGACAGATCTACAAGTCCATCATAACACATGTCGTATTGTATGGATCTGAATGTTGGGCCACCAAAGTTGCGGATGAAAGGAGATTGCATGTGGCTGAGATGCGTATGTTAAGATGGATGTGTGGTGTGACAAGAATGGATAAAGTTAGGAATGTGTATATTAGAGGAAGTTTGAAAGTAGCGCCAGTGGTGGAGAAATTGAGAAGCAAATGGTTAGCGTGGTATGGACATGTTACGCGACGAGATGGGGACATAAACCAGAAAGTGTTAAGGTTGAATGTTGGCTACAAAGGAAGAGGAAGACCGAAGAAAGTATAGATAGTTTGTGTGAAAGAGGATATGCTTCAGAAAGGTGTGGATTCAGATATGACGGCTGATAGAGATGTATGGAAGAGCAACACGTACTGTGCTCACCCTCCGTAGGGATAAGGGCAAATGGATGATGACGAGTTACATATTTACAAAATTCTATGAACTCTCGTGTCTTTATTTCATAGTAAGCTTTTTAAACTATCTGTTAGCTAACTTTGGCGTCAGTAACGCAAGCGTACATACCTATTTTCGGTGGCATTTCAGTTGGTATGCTTGTGTTAAAAAGGTCGCTCATTAAAGAATCCAAATCCTGGCATCGAGATATCGATATCGAAGCTAATAAGATCCAGTATATCTAATAAAAACAAAACAAAATGCACTAAAAACAAAACAAAATACACCAAAAACAAAATATTCTCAAAAAAAACAGTACACTAAAAAGTAACGAAA